ACATGCACACCCATTCTCACACACATGTGCCCCCATAAACCCCACATCCACACACAGATACACACATGCACACCCATTCTCACACACATGTGCCCTCATAAACCCCACATCCACACACAGATACACACATGCAGACACATCCCACATCCACAGATACCACATGCACACACCCATACTAACACACACACACACTCCCACCCCACATTCACACATACCCACCCCTAAACACACACACAGACACTCCCCACATGCTCACATCCACACCCCTACACTCACACATATGAATACACTCCAACTCACCCACACTCACACAGACACACACACAACACTCCCACCCACACACCCAGACTCCCACACGCTGCTGCTTTAGGACACGCTGCTTCGCTTGATGATGGCAGAGTCTCACTATTTTCCTGCTCATCAGAGCAGGAGCTTGGGTGTAAAGAATGTTTTTTGGTGGAAGGAGGAACAGAGACAGGCCGAGTGTCCTCACAAAACTCCCTGGGGAACGTCGCCCCTGCTCTCAGGGAGCGCAGTGCCATCAGGAAGGTGCGCAGGTGATGCATTCCCTCCGTGCCTGTGGAACTGGATGAAACCAGCTGCCTGGGAGGAACCAAAGGCGGGTCTGGCACTCACCAGCCACCTCCTGAGGGTGACGGGGTTGATGCTGAAGTCCCTGACCAGCCCGAGGTCGTGGTACATGTGCTCCAGGCAGCTCAGCATCTGTGGGCATAGGAGAAGGGTGGGCCTCAGGCAGCCGTGTAGCCGGCTCCCCAGCCCCTGGCTTCCCTCTGTCATCCTCGGAGTGCCAGCAGGGCGGTCGGCAGGAGGGTGGGCTCTCCCCTTCCCAGAAAGCCTGCTGAGAGCGAAGCCTGGTCGGCGAGACGCAGGAGGAGCGGTCTTTGGACCAGCCTTTCCACGCCACCCAGATGGGTGGGGCTTTGAGAGCGCACTGGGGGTCTCCTGGGGGTGGAGGGCTGGTTCCGAAGTCAAGGAGAATTCTAAGATAGCAAGGATGGCGACTAGGCGAGAGAGCACACCCCACTCCCAAATCACCACACCAAAAGGTTTTATTGATTTCTACACATGAAAAACAATCTCAGTGGAGCAGGATCACAGCTGAGGTTTCCAGGACACGGTTCTATCCGGCACACCCCTGAGCACGGTGGTGTCACAGAGAGAAAGGCCCTTTCCTTGCCTGAGGCTGGAGATCAAAGGCGCTTTGACGATCTACATCCAGAAACGCCGACCTGCGCTCCTCTGGGGCCCCGCTGGGACCCGAGACACTTTTACGTCTTAACTTGCAGTGTGCAGAGGGAGCCCGCCCTGGGAGAGTCGCTCCTCCTAACCGTTTTTCATGGAGCTCTGGTTTCTCTTGAGATCCCTGTTCAAGCTGAAACAGATTTTGTTTTCAGTCCCAAAGAGGATTTATTGTCATGGTGGACATCTATTTCAATGCAGCTCAGTCAGTGCCTTGGAGCTAATTAAGTCAGGGAGGAAAAGATGAAGTGAGTTTTAAAAATGAGAGTTTGACCAAAGTGGGCATTGCTTTCTGGAAAAACCAGATCTTGGGTGGGGAGCCCAGCAGGAGGAGGGACGTGCAGAAAAGGGGCAGTTTAGACATTCCTGGCAGGTGTCCCCCACCCAAGACCCCCCACCTGTGCCCGCCTCCAGCCCAGCCGCCCGCTGCCTGCTGTCTGTGCAGGGCATGGGGCCATCCCTGCCGGAGCCCAGCATGGCTTCCTGCCTGTCTCTGCTCATTGCACAACCTTCTCTTCCCAAAAGGGCATGTTATAAACCAAACTGCACCTTCCCCTAAGTCAATGTGTTAAAGCCCTGACCCCAATGGGCTATTTGGAGACAAGGACTTTGTGGAGGCCAGGAAGGTTCCACACAGTCAGGGTGAGGCCTTGGCCCAATGGGGCTGTTGTCTTTTTTTTGAAATGAAGTCTCACTCTGTCACCTAGGCTGGAGTGCAATGGCACGATCTCAGCTCAATGCAACCTCTGCCTCTCAGGTTCAAGCGATTCTCCTGCCTCAGCCTCCTGAATAGTTGGGACTACAGGTGTGCACCACCATACCCGGCTAATATTTGTATTTTTAGTGGAGATGGGTTTCACCATATTGGCCAGGCTGGTCTTGAACTCCTGACCTCGTGATCTGCCCGCCTCGGCCTCCCAAAGTGCTGGGATTATAGGCGTGAGCCACCGCGCCCGGCTGGGATTGGTGTCTTTATAAGAAGAGGAAGAGCACCGGGGGTCGTTGTGCAGAGAGAACAGGCCACAGGAGGACACAGCAAGATGGTGGCCGTGTGCAAGCCACGGACAGAGGCCCCTGGAGAAGCCAAACCTGGCAGCCACCTTGATCCCGGACTTTCAGCTCCAGAACCGTGGAAGCAACTTCTATGGCTGAAGCCACCCCAGTCTCTGCACTTTGTTATGGCAGCCTCAGCAAATGAGGACAGGGTGTGCCGCCAAAAAATCCATTTGTACTTGCTACGCTGTGTATGAGACCTGGAAATGCTGCCAGGGAGGTGCGTCTTTGTAGACTGAAGCTTGCAATCATGGCATTGATGAGACGGCTCTACAGGAGGCAGAGGGTTCTCTGGCATTGCATAGAATCCATCTGGAAAACTGGAAACTCCTCCACATGCGGCCACAGATGGGAGCTTGAAATGTCACCTGGGAAACATCCTTAAAGCACGTGAACCACATACTCATTTTCCTTGGGGGGACAGTGCAGCTGTAGCTTGGATAATGTGCAGGGCATCAGTCTGGCTTTTGGATATGGGGCCCCACGTGAGGACAGGGGGGCTGGCTCCCAGGCCGCTGTCAGCTGCTGCCTGGATCACCCAGCCAGTGGCCTCGCTGCCCAGAGCTGCTGGCCCCTCACCGTCCTGAACGCCGGCGCTTAGGACTCTAGAGGCTGCAGCCTAGAAAATCCTTGCTCTCCATCTGAACAGCCCAGATGCTGCTCAAGGCAGCCCTGAAGGGCAGATGTGTCTGCTGTTGAATCAGAGCCAAGAGGAGATGCTAACTGGCAGACAGAGCTACCTGGTGCCACTTACGTGGCCTACGTGGAGGCTGTGGGGCAAGAGGGCCGTATGCATCTGTGGCTGCACGTGCAGTCTTGAGCTCCGGGCGGGCAAGAGGGAGTGGGCAGCTCCCGCATGCGGTGGCAGGTCCTGGTCTGAGTGGGCTGCATGGTCCACTTGTGGGGGACTCATGAGATGATGGGGGAGGCTCCTGAAGCCTCCCAGCTCTGTACTCGATAGAGGCAGGCCACAGCCCTGGGCGGAGGCCCTAACAGATGGGAGGGCACGGCAGCCTGAAGTCATGTCCCCCGTCCAGTTTGTGATGGGCAGGACACTGGTTCGAGCCACTGGGAGAAAGACAGGGTCACCCCTGCTGGAAGGGAGAGAGGTGATTAGCTGTGGGGCACTGGCGTTCTCTGAGTGCCTGCTGCCTCATGGGCAGCCAGATGTAGCTTTGTGGGGCCGATGGGGCTGTTTTCCTGTGTGTCCCTTTAGTTGTCCCTCTTTGCCACTCACATTCCAAAATTCTTGGCATTGCCAGATCTGCCAGAGGCCAAGGCTCCTGTCTTGGACATCTCTGTGTTCTCACATGCAGGCAGCTAGATGTTTCTTGGAAGCACTGGAACCCTCATCGGTCTCCTGGGGTGCCCCTGGGATCTGCTGGGCAGAAACCATGGGCCGTGGGATACACCACCCAGAAGCTGAGCCCAGCCGCCGGGAGCTGTTTGCCTTGCCTGCCTGCCAGCCCTGAAAGCAGGTGTGAATCCACTCTGCGATCACAGGACAGAGAGGTGGCCTTTCTATGACGGAGGCACAGATCCCTCAGCTTCGTGGGGCAAGCCCCACCTCCCCAGTCACAGTGGCCCGTGCTCAAAGGGTTTCCTGGTAGACGGTGGCAGAAAAGACAGTAAGTGCTGTTTCCATGCAGGCGCTTTGCCGTCAGTGGCCCCTGGCTTAGCTCTTCCTCACAAGAGGCTGCAGTCAAAATGACTTTGGGGATGGTGATTTTTTTTTTTTTTTTTTTTTTGAAAAGGAAAGGCAACCTTGTTGCCCAGGCTGGAATGCAATGGCGTGATCTTGGCTCACCACAACCTCTGCCTCCTGGGTTCAAGCAATTCTCCTGCCTCAGCCTCCTGAGCAGCTGGGATTACGAGCATGAGCCACCACACCTGGCTAATTTTGTATTTTTAGTAGAGATGGGGTTTCACCATGTTGATCAGGCTGGTCTCGGACTCCTGACCTCTGGTGACCCACCCGCCTCGGCCTCCCAAAGAGCCAGGATGACAGCTGTGAGCCACTGCACCCTGGCAGGGATTTTTCTGCACGATGCTCCAGGTGCAGTGCCTGCCCACAGGCTGGAGCAGGAGTCGGTGTGTTCTAACTGTCTGCGGCGTCTGCTTGCCGGGGACTTGCTCTGCCCAGTCTCAGCTCCGGTGCGGGGTCCCTGGGAGCTGCCGCTGCAGGCCAGCAGCTCAGCGCTTCCCTTTCTTGCTTTCCCTTCTCCTTGCATCTCCCACACCTGGGCCCTTTCTTTTTATGCGTTGACCTTGACAGTCACGCTGCACAGGTAAAGCCGGCTCCTCCTGTTGGCTCCGTGACTGTCATCCTGCACTCTCGGACCTGGGGAGCAAACTGGCACGTGGTGGCTGGAGGCTGTGAGGTCTGCAGTAGTGCAGCCCCTGGGACTGACCGCCTGCTGCCCTTCTGGGTGAGCTGGGGTGGGGAGTGTGGGCTGGATCTCCGCTTTTCTGGCTGGTGCTGCTGCTGCCGTTTTTCTCCTGCTGGGAGACGAAGCTCATGAAAGAGGTTCCTTTAGCAGAGGGCAGGGGGTCCGGGGTCAGCAACCTGACCTCGGGGATCCCACTTCCTGCCCTTTGTGGAGACTTCGCTGCAGCCCAGCTTGTCAAAAATCGCAGGTGACCGCTGAGGAGCCGTCTGCATTTTCCATGTTGCTGACAAGCACAAAAACGTCCTTAGATTTTGGTGGGTTGAAAACTGCTGGGCCCGAGGACAGCAAGGAGAAAATGTTTTCATTTCTTGGGGTGCAAAAACACAAAAATTCCCAATTTTTATATTTTTCAGCCAATGGGAATTTAACACTTTTTTGTTTTGTAGAGACGAGGTCTTGCTATGCTGCCCAGTGCATTAGTCTGTTCTCATGCTGTTAATAAAGACATACCCAAGACTGGGAAATTGATAAAGAAAAAGAGGCTTAATGGGCTAGCAGTTCCACACGACTGAGGAGGCCTCAGAATCGCGGCAGAAGGCAAAGGAGGAGAAGATCACTTACGTGGCGGCAGTCAGGAGGGCGTGCGCAGGGGAACTCCCGTTTATAAAGCCGTCAGATCTCCTGAGACTGATTCACTACCGCGAGAACAGCATGGGGGGAAACCGCCCCCATGATTCAGTTATCTCCACCTGGCCCTACCCTTGACATGTGGGGATGACAATTCAGGGTGAGATTTGGGTGGGGACACAGCCAAGCCACATCACCCAGGCTGGTCTGGAACTCCTGGACTCAAGCCTTGCTACAGAAGGTGACACAGTTACCGGAACCCACATGTCACTTATCTGGGGCTGCCAGCTGCCTGTGCCTTGCCTTTGCAGACAACGGTCTCAGAGCAGAGCACTCTGACCACAGCCCCTTCCTCAAGGAGAGACTTGCTCCCAGCAGGGGCGTTCTGTAGCACACAGCCTGTTTGCAGGTGCAGCACGGGGCTGCCAGCCTCTCGAGAGGGTCTGTAGGGCGGGCAGAGGCCTGGGGAGTCCAGCATGGAGGAGCCCTGGACAGAGGCTCCCTGCCCTGACAGCTGCCTCCCCAACTCACAGAATCCCCCTGCTGTGAGGTCTGTCTCCTGAGCCCTCCTAGAAAGTGTTACTTTCAACTAAAACCTGGCGAAGCAAGGGTTTTTTTTGTTTGTTTTTGTTTTTGTCTTTTTTCAGTCTTTAAAAAGATGAGGAGAAGGCATGAAGGAGGAAGAGTGATGGGGGTGGTCCCACTGGGGTCCCCGATCCTGAGCTGCCTCCCCCCAGGATGCGGTGCCCATGAGTCCCGCACTTACCTCGTTGGGCTCCCAAAGCCAGACGTCAAAGGTCGGCTTCCGCAGGGCCTCGACAGTCTCTGGAGAGAGCAGATACTGGAAAGGACAGGAGCTCCGTGTTAACCAGGCGCCGGGGGCCCGCGGTGCCATGTGCGTGCCGGGACACATCTCTTTCTCCCATTCTCTTTCAAAGGCGCCTGTGTCAGACTCACAGGCCACAGCCTTCTGGAAAGGACCAGTGCCACGGTGGAAATCCTATCAGTGGACGCCAGGGGCAGGGCCAGGGGGCGGGGGAGGGTTCGGGGTGACAGAAATGTGCCGTATCTTGCTTGCGGTGGAGGTCAGAGGACTAAGCAAGTTTGTCAAAATTCACTGTACTCCAGACCTAAAGAACTACTGTGTGTAAATGAGACCTCAAGAAGCCTGATGAGAAAATGGACAACAGCTGGGCGCGGTGGCTCAAGCCTGTAATCCCAGCACTTTGGGAAGCCGAGGCAGGCAGGTCACCTGAGGTTGGGAGCTCAAGACCAACCTGGCCAACATGGTGAAACCTCATCTCTACAAAAATACAAAAATGAGCAGGGCATGATGGTGGGTGCCTGTAATCCCAACTACTCGGGAGGCTGAGGCGGAAGAATCGCTTGAACTTGGAAGGTGGAGGTTGTAGTGAGATGAGATCACATTATGGCACTCCAGCCTGGACAATAGAGTGAGACTCCATCTCAAAAAAAAAAATGCTT